AAGTTTGGGTACACTTCTTTTAATCAATCTTGAGTAATACAAATAATAGAAAGACTTCAATATAACAAACTGGAAATAGGTTTACTTATATGTCGTTTTTTTTTGTATTATTATTTTTTGAAATTTTTGTCACATTAAGATAACCAAAAATGTGACATTGACAAATAATCTGAATCTAAAAAATTTCCCCAAAAAGTTATTGCTTAAATCAAAGATTAAAACACAATAAACTAAGTTCAATTCAGCAATGAATTTCCGAATAGCCTCCTTACTGCGTAAGAAATGTTTTATTGTAGAACATAAATCTTGTAAACCACTTTATGAGTCAATATAAGTTACATATCATAACAATCAATAAACAATATTAATCTTAAGTATAATTCTTGTGAAAAAAATAAAAAATCTATATTTCATGTAAAAACCAAGATTTATAAGGAAGCTGTTCTGTAAAGCGAGGGCTTGTTTACTGCATAGCAAAGGCTCTTACTGCATGGCAGAGGCTCGGTCTGGCTTCCCTCCCTCACCCTGCGAACCAAGAATTGCAGTGTGCACGCGTTCACGCAGTATTTTGTCGATAACTTCTTTAAACTTAAATCTACAAACAATCGCGTTGCCATTTTTAAATGTATATGCCTAGGGCTATAGAAAAGTTTAAGTAAGTTGGTGAGGTAAAATCAAAGTTCAGGCGTTGCGACACTTTACGTTCGAGGCTGTCTAGAACTTTGATGAATAACTTGGAGAGTTGTTCTATAGCTTAGTATAGTTTTCTTTGTTTTCTGTTTAGTTGGTCACCCTGTTATATTGAATACGAATCCATTAGAGACTTAACACAAAGAAATAAACAAGGAATCCTGGTAGCTGGGTTTAATGATGTAAACAGTGGCACAAAGACCAGAATTCTCGCTTTGTGTTTCTCTTCTATTTATATACTAGGATACAGAAGAGAATTCGAGCCAAAGGACACAGGAGAAAAATCAAACCAAGGAGATCCAGGAGAAAATTAGAACTGTAAAGGAACAGAAGAGAATTAGAACTGTAAAGTAACATAGAGGATTTAAATTATAGAATAACAGGAGAGGATTCTAACCGTAGTGGAACAGCAAGGATTCAATCCATAGAGGTTCAGAGATAATTCAATGCATAGAGAAACAGAGAATAGGTTTAGAGAGAATTCAATGCATAGAGGAGCAGAGAGGATTCTAACCATAGAGAAACACAAGAGGATTCAATTCATAGAGGAACAGAGAGGATTCTAACCATAGAGTAACAGAGAGGATTCTAACCATAGAGTAACAGAGCGGGTTCTAACCATAGAGAAACAGAGAGGATTCTAACCATGAACAAAGAGGATTCTAACCAAAGAGTAACAGAGATTATTCTAACCAAAGAGTAACAGAGATGATTCTAACCATAGAGGAACAGAGAAGATTCTAACCATAGAGGAACAGAGAGGATTCTAACCATAGAGTAACAGAGATGATTCTAACCATAGAGTAACAGAGAGATTCTAACCATAGAGTAACAGAGATGATTCTAACCATAGAGTACCAGAGCGGATTCTAACCATAGAGTAACAGAGATGATTCTAACCATAGAGTAACAGAGAGGATTCTAACCATAGAGGAAAAGAGAGGATTAAATCCATATGCAAAATTGTCGAACCCCTAAATTAAATTTTAAGTGTTTCATACAGTTCAATAATTACCGGCTCATTTCTTTTATTCTCGACTGTTATTTAACAGATTTTGATTTAAGAAGGTCCGAGGGAATCTGGATTTTCAGCTCTAGTCTGGAAATGTGCTTGGAATAAAATCTCTCAATTTAATATTCTTTATTCAGATTCTCTTTATATTCAAAATAATAATACTAGAACTAACATTACATCAATACATAGGAACAGAACACAATACAAAACTATAATAATTTGAACAATCTGAACTAACAAACTTAACACTTTTGTTTCCAGAGTGCAATTTTCAATTCACTTGGACTGGACACGTTTGGATTTTTAAAATCTGTTTGTTAAAGTGGGTGTTCACGAAAAATAAAGGGGGTATAGGCTGATCTTGAATTGAATTTGGTTTTGATTGCCACAATTTTTTTTTGCTAGTGGTGGGCTTTGACATCCACCATTGGCAAAGGATGCAAGCCCATTCTTGTTGACTGGTTGTAGACTTTGACATCCACCGCTAGCGAAGGGTGTAAACCCATTCTACTCGTTGACAGTTTAAATCCTCCTAAATGAACGGGAGCCCTCTCCTACAAGTTAAAAATTACAGGGTGTCCCACGAAGCACAACAGTTGGTAAATAGTTTAAAATGTCTTCTTCCTTAATTTGATAAGTTGTTTGATACTAAAGAGACTAATAACATTTTTATAGGACAGTTATATTATAGTAAAATTGATTTCACAGTAAAATAAATATGAGTTAAAACATTTTTTAAAAGAAATAAACTGCAACAAGTCTTTAATATCTAATACAGTATATATGGAAGAAGACATTCAAAACTATTCACCAACTGTCATGTTTTGTGGGACACCATGTAGATATACTAGGTATGAATGCCTCAAATTAAATTTGACAGTTATAACTGGTAATATCTTAATCATAAGTTTAATATTCAATTGACTAATTTACGGTTCAAGTTGTTTAATGCATTTTCTCTTTATATACGCAACAGAGAAAAGTAAAGTAATTAAAATCAAATTCAAATCAGCCTATACCCGCTTTCCTTTTTCGCGAACACTCATTAGATTTCTTGTTTGTTAATAGCATTATTGTTGCGAAACGATAAAGATTATTAACGATATTAACAGTAGATATTCCTAACATTCGTTCGTTTCAAGGGTTCCACCCCTGGACCCGACTAGATTTTAAAATGAAATTTAAATTACGTACAGTCATCATCACTGCTGGACCAATCCAATAAAATGTGGCAATTTTATGATTCTCCGGGTTGGAGGGGGTAGTTTTAGTATTACTTAATGTTTCTGTTTTTCTGCAAGTTCTCCATTTGCTTGATTAGATCTAGTGAAAGTACGGAGAAACCAATTTACTGTTATATCAAATAATGGGGTTTTAAAACCCATCAATACGACAAATAATGATTGAGAGAAAAAAAAATCACACCAAATTCTCCATTACTCCTTACTTAAATAGTAAAGTCGGAAAAGCTCTGTATCTTAAAACTATCATTATTTGCAATCATGATGACACTTTTTAGTTGCCCACAACAAAATAACTTTAAAAAAAGCCATTTTCTCTAGTTTATTTTGGTTGTTTTAATGTTGTACAATGTTTTTTTTTTTGGGGTGGGGGGTGGGGGTGGTGTCTTAAAGGAAAAAATTGCGTTTTATGCTTTATTCTATGCATTAAATTATGCTCCATAATACATGAGGAATATATGTCACACTATAAACCGGGCTCCCTAGTTCCATAATTCATATCTGCATTGTGAATTATTCCACTGTTGCGCATTATCTCAGTATCTAATTAATACCCCTCCCCGCCCACCCTCGCCCTCCCTCATACTTTGTCTGTCACTGTCTCTGTTGGTTCATTCATAAAAACATTCTGAAAGTAAATAAAAATGTTTATTATTCAAAATTTTCAATTGTAAAAAGAAAAAGTCTCTAAGTTATGAATCCATTGGTTTTTATGTGCTTAGTCTAGTCCGCAACTTTACAGAAAAGGGACTGTTCACCAGATTTAAATCTCTCGGGACCACAAAACTCGGACTAATTTGGATAAAAAAATAGATCTTAAAATTCAATAAAACGACTTTAAAAAAAAAAAAATTTTATCGAAAGAAGAAAGTTAAAAAATAATCCATTCTATATTTTAAATTCAATTGAATTTCCAACTAAATTGAATCTTTGCCACAAACCCCAATTTTCTATCCCAAATATCTCAAACTTTAATTGTTTGATCTAACAGAATTCCTAGTTTGAACTAAATTCTACGATACTAGAAATTCAAGGCGCTTCGCGCCCTTCTTTCTAGCCTTAGAGGGCGCTTCGCGCCCATCTTCTAAATTAATTGTAAACATGTTCTCTTTGTGTACATCGTAAAACTAAACAAAAATAATTTGCGGATTTTTACAAAAAATTTCGCGGATTTTCAAAATTTTAAAAAAATTAATGACGATCGAATTTTGATAGAGACAAATATTTGAAATTTTGATGATTCATAAACCTTCCCTGGGCTCCCTAGATGTCCCACAAAAAATTTGGGCCCGATCGGTTCAGCCGTTTTGACGTTTATTGGATACAAACAAACAAACAGACAAACAAACAAACAAACAGACAAGCCAAATTTATATATAGATAAGATTTGAACATAGGAGTGTGTGGCAAAGACTCAATGCCTCTGGTGTGTAGTGACTATTCTCACGGGCAAATTAATCTAAACCTGTGGGTTGCAGATGATCTAGTATAAAAACCAAATTGAGTCAATTTGAATTTCCAAGAGCTATAAATAATTTAACAGACAGAAAACAGATAACTTTTAACAATCTTTTTATTTGTCATTAATTAGAGACAATACAGTTCTACGCCAAGTTTTGTTCTGTACTTGTCAACACATTGTTTTTAACAAGATCCATTAAAAGTTATTCAATCTTTTGCTAGATATAAAGTTAGGCAGCTCTATATATCCTATATCCTAGCTAACAATAGAATGCATCTTTAAACTTTAAACTTCACCAGATACTAGGATACACAAATGTTTTCTGTGTAAAACTTTTTACACATTTTATACTTTCCGAAAAAGGAATATTTCTGATCTGATAGTTTTTTTGCTAATTGAAAATTCAGAATGCTAAATCAAAATAATTATTTTTTTCGTAAAAAAAACATTTTATTTTTAGCTGAGAACATTTTTAGTCGAAAAAAACAAGCGTAGGGTAAGCAGGGTTGTTCCAAGCTAAACAAAAACCCCGAAAAGAGCCATTTTTAAAACAAACTGGAGTTATATTTTTAAGCATGTTTTTGATAGTTACGTAAATATTAATTAACGAAGCATGGCTTGAAACAAAAACTATTTTTTATCTTACAATTAAACTCAAATATTTATTTTCTTAAAGCATATCTCACAATATCACACATATATCAAAAAATGAGGGAAAACATAAAAAGTGCAATCTAATTTTGAAAACATGAGCTCTGAAGAAAAAGCGTGAGTTCTCCCTTTAATTTGATGATGTTTTCCTTCAATATATTCCAAGCTAACTAAAGAATAAAAGAAACAAAGCTTGCAGTTTTTCAGGCAGTTAACTTTTACTAGAGAAGATACTGATCTGGCCTAAATATAACGGGGTAGTACTACAGGGTCTCAGGCCTAGCTTCTCAATACTTGCCAGGCAGTTTTCAAGCCGATATCCTGATACAACAATTCATACAATAATCTAATTATGTGTAGGTTTATTAAACAAAGAATAAAAAAAAAACAGTTTTAAAATAGAGCAGGTATAAACCGCAATTAAGAATGTATTTTTAGGGGAAAAATTAAGTTAAGACAATCGAATTTGAATTCTTCAAGTTTTTGAAGAAAAGTCAGAATTGAAAATATTGTCCCGGGAAAATATCATTTATATTTATTAAAGATGGAAGCGAATGCGCCTGTTCAAGGATAATAAAGTAATAAATGTGAGAAGGGAAAAGGTAATTCAAATTCATAAAATAATATTTAGAAAACAGAAAACCTTTCTTTAAATCCATTTCTTTTATTTTNATTTTCGAAATAAAATTCACTCCTGAGAGGTTTAATAATTATGAAATCCATTAAAACACCAAACCACCCCGCTTATCATTGAAGTACACTTTGAAGAAGTATGAGTTGTTCAGATTTCTTAAAAACAATTAGAACGAATAGTTGAGCTGGTTGGATTTTTTTTAATGTAAAGCGACTTTTCTTTTAATGAGTAACACAGAAACCCTTTAAACCTTCGTGTAAGCAAAACATGTTTTAAGATATTCCGCATTTGCTTTCTGGAAATTGATATTTTTGAATTATGAGGTGTCTTAAAAATTCTCTTTAACCCTATACTAGTTGGGCTATTTTTGTCTGATATATGGTGGGGTGGGGTGGGAGGATCGGGGGTGTTTTCCAACCCCGCCCCCATAGGATTTTGACCTTAGAGTTGAGAAGTGGAGAGTGATACATGTCTTTATAGTCCAACTTTTCAAGGCTGATCATTAAGAAAAATTATACCTCTAACTTTAAGGGTTAGGGTGCAAAGAAGAATTTTTAAAAGTTTAAGAAGTATGTCGGAAATATGTTCAAAAATTATAAATTTTAGCTGAAGCTTAATTACCAAGAGGTTGTAAGCATTTCTGATTTTCTTTAAATTTTGATGTTGAAAAAGCGAAGAAGTTTTTAAGTTATTTAGAAAAAACCACAAGGTGGTTGGGGTTGGGGGGTGTATGAATATATATCCCTGCAAGCTTCCAGTCTGCATTGATCTGAGGTAGTTCTACATCTAGCTCTTGAACTGTAGCATCATCAAGCTGAGGAACAATAAGAGGGGAACCTGGAAAAAATTCACAATTCTAATATTTACAAAATTGTCTAACATAAACTCACGCGTACTTGGCTAAATTAACTACTTCAGAACGAGATTAGCTCATAAACAATGATCTTAGATTTATCAGTGTTTACTAAAGACAAACAGAAAAGGCGATTTAAACAAATAAAAGTTCGAAAAAGCTTTACTTTACCTTCCCCCATGGGTAAGCTTTGACAATAAAGAGACATTATTATTGGAGAATTTGAGTTGGATAAAAGGAAAGATGTATTTTTTCCAAACATTTTTAACATATCAAAAAAAGCTTTAAAAAGGCGAATTGAACTATTTGATTTTTGTTCTCTGGAATTAAACTACTCCATATTTTTAATTTATCAAAAATAAGTTAAATAAAAGGCGAATTGAACTACTCGATATTTTTTCTCGTTAAAAGTTTCTTTGGAAAAAATCACTAATTGCGAGAGTATTTTGTACATTGGTAATTCAAGTTTTATTTTACAAAATCATTCACGAAAAAATTCAAAAGATATATTCAAAGAGTATCATACCAGATTCACAACAGTGCCCTTTGAAATATTGTTAAAACAACAATTTTGATGATCTTAAAACGTGTTCGAGTTCTGTAAATGTACATTCTTTTGTTGTTTCTGATTAATAAATGCGTAAGTCACTTTATAGAACATTCACAATTAGAAGGATTATGGAGGATATTTTCTGACCAAGGTTTAAAGGGTACCGTTGTGAATCAAGCATACCATTCTGTAGATGAAGGGTTATTTGGTCTTTTTTAATATGAAATCTGACCTGTATCCAAACCAAGAACTAGATCAACTCCTCCAACCTTCTCCTCTACTCTAGAGAGTACCAGGAGAAAGGTCAGGGTTATCCCTTGAGGATTAAGGTCGAATAAGAAAACCGGAACGACCAATCCTGGTTCTGAAGCCTCTATATATAAACTTCTGTGTCCAACAAAAGTCTGGTAAACTTTAATTCAAGGAATTAATCTTTTTTAAATTAAATTTAATCGATTATTTTAAAGAGTGGACAAGGTCAATAAGAAATCCAGGAGCATTTTAAAAATCTTTGTTCGTAAATTTTTAAGTTACATAGTTGGTCAATAATCATAAGCTTTAGTCGTCATTTATTATCGCTCCATTGATCACCATGTTTAAATGAGATTTCTTTTGTGAATAGTATTAAGTCTAAATTCTAACCTAGTTACCTGTAACCAAGGAAGTTGCACAAGAAACCTCCATACCTTTGTTTACATTAAACTTGTCCTGCAACTTACGGGTAGCAAATAAACACGTTCAGTTCTGCCTAGACTGAGAATTGTTTATGTTCCTACAAGTAATTGCAGTACATTTTTAAGTAAACAAAGATAAGGAGGGTCCTGGCAATAGATAAAGATAGATTGCGCATAAGACGACATTTTTCATCTTGAAAGATATAAATGTACACTGTACAGAGATGTTTTAAAGATATTCCTATTATATAGATTAACTAGATCGGTTGTGAACATTGGCTGTTTTTATGTCATTGAGTGTTTGTGGTGTACATGAGTTCTGTAGAGAGAAATTTAAGTTAGTTTAGTCCTTCTTATGTCCTTTTTCAGTTCTCGTCAATATGATATATTGATATTTTCAAAATAAAATTCACTCCTGAGAGGTTTAATAATTATGAAATCCATTAAAACACCAAACCACCCCGCTTATCATTGAAGTACACTTTGAAGAAGTATGAGTTCGCGGACTGTACAATTCTTGGTGATTTTGCGCAAATAAGCTATCTATGTTTATTTATTTATCAATGGTCCTGGCGCATACTTGAATGTATATTTTTAGACGATAAAAAAAGGTGCCAGCGTGGACAATGAAGTATTTTTTCCTTTGAAAAATTGCAAAGATATTTTTATTTAAAAGAAAAGTGAGTGAAGGTATCTAGATCTAGTTTAGCTTTGAATAAAGAAACAAACTACAGAAAAGGATTTTCTAGAATTAAAGTTTCTCCTTTGTGTGGGTAGTATAGCAACAGAATACAGGAGGGAGGGGGGAGATGGGGGAGGGAGTAGAAGTTGTGGAAGAGAGGAGGGAGGAATCAGTATTAGAACTATTTTTTGCGGAATTCTAATGAAAGAAAGCATAACAACCTGGATAAAAAGTAATTTTCTTAAATTGAAGAAATTTAAATAAATTCGAACAGAAACCTATTCATCCAAACTTAAATCTAAACAACAGTGTTGCAGGTTTTCTTTTTCTTATAACATTCAATCGCATTTTAAGAAAATTTAAGTTTAAAGGTTAGAATGATTTTTTCCCTGAATATTGGTTGAAATTAGACTAGGCTGTGGTTGCAGGGAGAGGAGGTGGAACCACTGGTTCCCGCGGCCACTGGAGAAACAAGATCTGAATACTAATCTCATCTTCTCTCTGTTCAAGCCTGCTCCCACCTCCTCCTCCCTCCTCATTCTGTCTAGATCCAGGTTCAAGCCTGCTCCCACCTCCTCCTTCCTCCTCATTCTGTCTAGATCCAGGTTCAAACCTGCTCCCACCTCCTCCTTCCTCCTCATTCTGTCTAGATCCAGGTTCAAGCCTGCTCCCACCTCCTCATCCCTCCTCATTCTGTCTAGATCCAGGTTCAAGCCTGCTCCCACCTCCTCCTCCTCCCTCCTCATTCTGTCTAGATCCAGGTTTACAGCCTGAAACCAGTGGTTAGAATCCATATTTCGATCCGGAGACACGGGATCCCTGATTACTTCGGGAAAAAAAACAAAAACTGAGAATATGACAATCTTACGTAGCTCAGACTCTACGAACACCACCAAGAATATCATTTGGGGGACAACAGTTTTTTTTTTCTCTGTAATGATTGAACTACTGTTGTGTCACCGTGTGCACTACCGAACTTTTGAACACTTATTTCAGGGGGAAGAAAGTTTCAAACCGTGATTTGACCCAAACCTGACACGGAGTGCCATGTTTGGGTCAAATGTGCAAAGTTTTCTTTTCAGCTATTTTTAATTAATTTAATCGATAAATAAAAAACAATCTGTGAACTTTAATTTAGAATAGTTATATAACAAAAATTTAAATACTAAACCCCTGCAAATAAATAGATTAAATTTGTTATTATTATTAATTTCATTTTAGAACATGTCACATTTTAAAAGCAAATGCGAAGTTTGAGCGCAAAACAAGTTTTGAAATATGTCGTGATTTTAAGACATTTTACAGATCTGAATCAAATTGATAATTTTCAAGCATTTACATAAATTGGTAAAATGAAAAATAAAACTCAAAAAATATTTTCTGTTCTGATTTTTGAAAATATAACGACTTTAAATATAAAAAAATCAATTAATAATATTATTTTGTTCTTAAAATAAAATTGAAATGAAAAATGCGGAAATATTTTGTTTAAAATTGAGGAAACTAAATACTTTCAGTGATTCATGCTCATTTGCCACCCCCTGACAGATTCAGGGAGGGGCGTAGCTCCCCCCTGAATTTGGAATTTTGTGTTCCTTGTATCAGAATAGTTTCTCAAAAGCATGCTTAAGGGAAAGAAACCCTAGTGCAAAACAGGAAAAATATCTGTCTTAATAAACTATAATGTGTGAATAGTTTAAAATCTAGTTTTTAAGTCTTTAGTCATTAATTTTGACTCTTTTTAAGTCTTTTAAGTCAAAAAAAAATTTTCGCCTGCAGCGCGATTTTTTGTTCCTAATTATGAATTTTTTGTTACTAAAAAATCTTGGCCCCCCCCCCTCACTTAAATCCTGTATCCGCCCCTGTTTATGCTGTATTGAAATGAACATATTGTTCAGATATTTCATAGTTCATAAGATTAGTAATTCAAATACCAGTCATCTAAATTTACAAACATTCATAACTGCAATTATGATAGAGATTGTTTTAAATGTCGTCGTCTTATTTCTAATATTCTTTTAGTTTGGTGTTCGTGAGCTCTAAGCTCTATATGTGTGATAACAAATTTAATCCTTAATCCGTATGCACTTAGTTGGATTCTGATTCCGGATCTTAGATTGCTCCGAATCACTGCCTGAAAGTTAAGAAAGGGCTCCAGGTTCTCCCAGAAAAGGTTCTCCCGGTCCATGAACTCTATCTCTACCCTGTTCTCCCTGTGGGGCAGCTCGTAAGTCCAACCAGGGGCAAAAATGGCACAAGACAGATTTCTCTCTCTGTTCAGGGGTTTATATTTACATTTCAAAAAAACCTTTTAAATCAAGAAAAACGTATAACAGCTGGAAAATAAATGGTCACAAGGATTTTCAAAAAACAAAATGGTTTTAACTAAATCAACCTTAGCGTTTTTAAAATTCTGTTATCATTGCGAAAATAGGCGGATATTTTTAATTATGTCCTTTTAGTTTTATAAGAAATTTTAAATATCTTTTAATAAATTAATTTCCCTAGTGACTGATTAATATGATTACTAAATATTGGAAAAAGTACCCACAAAGGATCAGTCTTCATTCAATCATAATTCTTTGCGCTTTTCTGCCAAATTGTTTCTTGTAAATCTTAAAATTACCTCAGACAGAAAAGCAAATGCAATCGTCATCTGACATATTAAAAAAAATAACATGTTGTCAAATTACAGTCTCATCCTTTCTAGTTAACCCTGATAATATGATAAAATATCCCTCTGTCCCTTATTTTGGAGAGTGCCGCAGAGCAGTTAAATCCCCCGCCTGAGGAGGGGGAGGGGAAAATTATTATCTATAACATTTCACTGTCACATCAATTATCAATAAAACTGTTATAAAAATAATAATATTGAATGAAACTCGCTGGTTTATAGCTTTCTATTTTATACAGATTAAAAAACCGCTGAACACTTCAATTCAATTTATTAAAAATAAAAANATAATAATAATAATAATAATAATAATAATAATAATAATAATAATAATAATAATAATAATAATAATAATAATAATGAAAATCATAATACAAGTTTCTTACCTCCAAAACACCCTCGGCCGAAAACGTCCACACCGACGAAAATATCCGTCCGACGATCTAGCTGAGATCCCAGGGTTTCCAGACAGTTATTTAAACTAACATTTAGGGATATTTAAATTTATTCCATATGTTCATCCTAGCGATTTAAATTGTTCCGATGTTGGAATGTGTATTTCAATAGATTTATGTTTATCTAAAGTTAGAATAAAAGAATTCTTATCGGACAGATAAATCCGTTGCTAAACAAAATATAATTTAATATTTCCAAACGATTTTTAACTTTCAATACTCCTAATAGTTTTTCCTCAAAATACAATTTTCAAACTTTAAATTTTTTTAGCCTCATAATCAGACCCAAGCAGAATTCATTTATATTTCCTAAAATACTTTTTAATCAATGCGATTTTTAAATAATCAATAGAAATGGATTTTTTTTATTTGAAAATATTCCGAAAATTTAACTTTTAGAAACAGGCTTAATGTATATCTTTAAAAAAACAATTATCTTTATATTTACACAATTAAATTTGGTATAAAATATTAGTTGAGTAAATACATATTTTTTTTTAATGAAAAACTTCCCTATCCTTTGGTGGGTCCGAGTTCTCTGGTAGTTTCCAGCAGTAGTTTAAAAATATACCATCACATTCATCAAAGAATGGTTTATTTAGAGAGTTTAATTCATCCTGCCACTTCAACTCACCCTAAACTCAAAGGTTTAAAACCAATCCTAGAGCTGGGACTAGATTAAGTGAACTAGAAGAAGTGGTTGAACCGTGTAGACTAAGTTGAACTATTTATCTTGCAAGACAGTTCTGAAGAGGAGTGGTACAATTTAGTCTATACAGTTCAACTATTTCTCGCTTTTTATTTAAACACCTGTTTAAGCCGTGTAGAATTTGGCCTTAAAAATCTGACATGAAGAGAGGAAGAATGTGAATGGTAGGTACGTCGTATATAAACGGCGACCAAAACTTTTTTGATCCCATGAGAAAATTTTAAATTTTATCAATAGTAGCAGAACTTAAAGTTAGTAAAAAAAAGGTCGGAATATATTAATTATACAATTGGCCTAGACTCTCGGGACAAATCGGATAATATAATATTTTGTCCCTTTAGGTTAAACAATTAGAAAACAGCAAACAGTCTCTTTAAAAAGGAAAACTTTAATTCTCATCTTGATTTCGTTTAGTCCTAGTTCAAGTGTTAATTTTCACGGAATGTATACCCACCCACCCCTCTTCCCACTAAATTAGCACTTGAAACCTTAACTAGTTATATCACCCCCCTCCCCCCCTTCTCTTAACCACATCCTCTCAATTCTAATATTAGTTTCTCAAGTCTCAATTTAAACCCTATATAAACCCTTACACTTCTAACACCAGGATATTTAGGGGAGAATACAACCGATCCTTTTCTACTCTTCAAACTAATTGTAGAAAATCCACCAGGGATAAATATTTTCTACTCTTCAAACTAATTGTAGAATATCCACCAGGGATATATATTTCCTACTCTTCAAACTAATCGTAGAAAATCCACCAGGGATATATATTTTCTACTCTTCAAACTAATTGTAGTAAACATAGATAAATAAATAAACATAGATAGCTTATGTTCGCAAAATCACCAAGAATTATACAGTCCGCGAACTCATACTTCTAGGGGTCAAAGTGTACTTCAATGATAAACGGGGTGGTTTGGTGTTTTAATCATAGAGAATAGAATATATATTAGAGGAGAATTTACTAGAAAAAGTGAAAAACGGCCATTTTGTTGTACTGTTTTCATACTGCAGGTGTACTTCACATATTTATGCTATATAACCTTTTGGGCCCTGGAATATCATTTAATAGAAAATCTAAAATCAATGTTAAAAGAAAACCAAATTATGAAATAGGCTGGTTTCATAATTGACCAATTATCATTTCACAAAGACTCTATGCCTTTCACTTTACAAACGATGATTTTACGTTATAACTATAAATCAAAACTATAAATTTTTTTTATTCACCTAATTCATTAATAAAGTTTATTTAACAACAAGGAGAATTGAATAGAAGGAGGGGGGGATAGGAATTCCGAACACTTTGCTGTGACGTTTTTGGACTGCGGAAGAACCAGTTTTTGGGTATAACAACAATAACAGAGGCAGCCGATCTAATGTAAACAAACATGAGTTAGTATACGGTGAATCTTCATCTAACGCCAGAGATGCGCCAAATGTCTGTTTATCATTTGTGTTATTGTTTACAATCTTTATTATTGTTGTTACGCAAAAACTAGTTCTTCAGCAGTCCAAAAACGTCACAGCAAAGTGTACGGAAACCCTATCGCCCCCTCCTATTCAATTCTCCTTGTTTAACATCTTTAAAAAATTCGAAATTGAAATGAATAGTCTAGGGAACATACTGTATTAATGTACTCTACTGCATATAATTTGTGAACATATTCATGATTTGTACACTTTGAACTCCCTTTTAGGCTGAAAGGGACTGAAAAAATTCATGCCGAGAGATTCTGTAAATTCCCCTCTAATATATATTCTATTCTCTATGGTTTTAATGGATTTCATGAAAGAGTGTAAAATAACTCCGGGAATGGAACTATTTAAATAGCAATATTTCACTGAGCAATATATCATATTGACGGGAACTGAAGAAGAACATGTAAAGAACTAAACTAACTTAAATTTCTCTCTGCAGAACTCATGTACACCACAAGTACTCAATGACATAAGAACAGCCAATGTTCACAACCGACCTAGTTAATCTATAAAATAGGAATATCTTTCAACCATCTCTGTACATTTTTATCTTTCAAGATGAAAAATGTCGTCTTATGTGCAATCTATCTTTATTTATGGTAGTAAATCCACCAGGGATAGATAATTCCTCTTGGAAAATATTTAGAATTCTAGCTTCTCAGCAAATTCCTTCAGCAAAAAAGCACTGATCCTTGCTTATATCTTTGCGACCTAATGTAAACCTTCAATACTTCAAACTATAAATTCTACTTATGAGGATCAAAGAATTGCACGGTCATTTTTCGAAAAGGAAATTAGAGGTTGTCATTAGTTTTTTTATTGTGCATTTATATGATTGTCATAAATGAGTTGTTTAAACCAACATGTAAAGATTTCAGAAGATTCATAAAAAATCACAAGAGCTGGTTCATACAAAAAATTATTTCAATTAAAAAAAAAGAACTTTCGATTCCAGGTTTTTTTCTGTAGAGTTTTAGTCCTATGTCTCATCCAAGTCAATTCTTAAGCAAAATTGTACTTCAAGAATACACACTCACAAAGGAGACCTAAGAGACGACCGTTTGGATTTTTTTTGTCTTTTCTTTTGTATTTATGGTTTCTTCTTTGCCAAACCGTTTAGTGTACAACGAATAAAATGAAATTCAAAGCATAAAACCAAACCTTTTTCATTTTTAAGCCAGTCCTTGAAGTCTCAGCATTTGTTCATTCTTTCAGAATTAAGCAGGGCTAGTAGAATACACTATAATTTTAGAGAAGTATTCTCAACTCAGAACTTTTGTGATCTTGGGATCAAGCATTGATTGCATCTTATGCAGATCTACTTATCAACTTTATCTCTCTTCGATATCCTGTAGTGGCCATACATTGCAGGATCTAGCCTTGATCCTCTAACTTAAAGTTCCCGCATTGAATATCGAGATCAAGCGTTCAAGATGAACTATACAACACACAAAAGTTTCGATCTCTGATAATACAATAACCTTCTATATTCAGGAGACAGTGCGAATTCTTGAACGAGAATAAATAGTTTTGAACAGGAAGAAAATTAGTATTTTCAAACCAGGTAAACACAAAACATTTCTTATAAATATTTCTACACATTTATTTTAGTATATTTTTTCCCTCAACCCCAGGGGGGTGTAATAACAAAAAAATATGAAAATCCTAATTGAGAATGTAAAAATAAAGTCTAGAAAGGACGGATTGAGAAGAATCAGAAAGATTAAGATGAAATAAACTGAGAAAGGACGCTTGAAAAATAATAGATTGGGAAATGTTCGATTGAGATTTTTTACAAGTATTTATCGAGAGTAGATGATATGAAGAAATAAGGATGGATTGAGAAAAGAAGATTTCGGAAGAATTATAAAAATATACGAATTTAAAAAATAATAATGAAAAAACAACTAAAATTTAAAGGTCTCATTCTTCGAGAGTGGATGACACGAGGAAACTTGGGTTAAGTAAAGATGGATTGAGAAAGGATAGCTCGAGAAAAGAAAAAGTGGAGTTTAGAAGACTTGAGAAAGGACAAGTTGAGTAAGGACTGATTGAGTAAAGATGGATTAAGTAAGGATGGATAGAGTAAGGATGGATTGAGAAGGATGGATTGAGTAAGGATGGATAGAGTAAGGATGGATTGAGAAGGATGGATTGAGTAAGGATAGATTGAGTAAGGATAGATTGAGTAAGGATGGATTGAGTAAGGATGGATAGAGTAAGGATGGATTGAGAAGGATGGATTGAGTAAGGATGGATTGAGTAAGGATAGATTGAGTAAGGATGGATTGAGTAAGGATGGATAGAGTAAGGATGAATCAAGTAAGGAAGGATTCGGAAGGAAAAGATTGGGATCGGTCGACTGAGTGAGGACGAATTTAGATAAGACGAATGAAGTGAGGACAGATTGAGTAAGGACGAATTGGGAACGGACGGATTGAGTAAGGACGATTTGAGATCGGACAGATTGAGTAAGGGACAGATTGAGTAAGGACGATTTGAGATCGGACAGATTGAGTAAGGGACGGATTAAGCTAGGATGGATTGAGCAAGGACGAATTGAGCAAGTTTATATCAAGTATTGACGAAATGAATAACTTTGCTCCTATAGTATCCCTGAGCTGTTGGTTCATTAAATCCTTGTTGTTTGGAAAACTGGACAAACTTACAAATCTAATTCATCCCTGTAGACAAACTTCAATTTTCTCAACCCTTCCGTTCATTCATCAGTCATCCAGAAATTCTTTAATCTAACTTCAACCATTACAAATTTACTTATTACAATTCATTTTTTCATTATTATAAATTTGTTAAAAATAAACGATTTCTTTTTTATTTACTATTTCTTAATTTTTCATTTTCATCTTTCCGAATTTTCTCATTATCCCTCATTCTTTTACTTATTCATTCTTACTATATTTACTCATTATCCCCCATTCTTTTACTTATTCATTCTTACTATATTTAATCACTATCCCCAATTTATTTACTTATTCATTCCTACTATATTTAATCATTATCCCCCATTCTTTTACTTATTCATTTCTAATATATTTAATCATTATTCCTCATTCTTTTACTACTATATTTGCTCATTATCCCCCATTCTTTTACTTATTCATTCCTACTATATTTAATCATTATCCCCCATTCTTTTACTTATTCATTTCTAATATATTTAATCATTATTCCTCATTCTTTTACTTATTTATTTCTACTATATTTACACATTATCCCCCATTCTTTTACTTATTCATTCCTACACTTATTATCCAACGTTCATTTACTTATTCATTTCTACTATATATACTTATTATCCATCATTCTTTTAATTATTTATTTCTACTATATATACTTATTATCCATCATTAATTTCTTCATTCATTTCTACTATATTTACTTATTATCCATCATTATTTTAATTATTTATTTCTACTATATATACTTATAATCTATCATTCATTTATTTATTCATTTTTACTAAATTCAATAATTATCCATCATTCATTTACTTATTCATTCCACCTATATTTACTTATTATCCATCATTCATTTACTTATTCATTTACTGGATTTCCACATTATCTACCATCCATTTACTTATTTGCTCCTGTAAAAGTTTATTCTGAACATAAAAAATGTCTAATTAAAACTTACAGAGCTATAATCAGAATTCCCTCCCAACATTAAAATCATTACCCCCCCCCCCCCTCCCACTCGGCCAACTGAATATTTTACCTAGGTTTACAGCATCATAAAAATGTTTTGGAGGAATATTAAACGTATAATAACAACTACAGTTCCTCGACATAGCATGGAAACATTGCTAGCAAACTCAAACAATGCATTGCATGCATACATTGCTGGCTTTAGAATAAAGATAATTCCAATCCCCCCCCCCCCCACTCTCCGGCGCTTTACTGTAAAGTCTAAAATTAATAGTGAAGTGAAAACTTATGAATTTAAGGGAGTCAAGGAGAAACGAGCGCAAACGGATAAACAACGAGTTTAAGGAACGATTTAAATTGACCCGGAAGATCGAGAAACGGATTAGTGCTTGAGGGAAAAAAACATACAAAAATTACACTCCTATTTAAAAAATAAAAATTAATTTTATCTTCTCAGATAAAGGTTGAATGAACACTGAATCGATGTGGACATTCTGCATTGTTTAATATCGTTGAGATTCCGTATTTAACAGTTTATGATGATTTGTACTTCTACACTCCTCTAAGAATAATATTAAAAATATCTATTCCCATTTGTCTTGCCATTGTCCCCGGCAAAATCCTAGAAAGCTTAACTCTAGAAAATCCGTGAATTTATGGGAGTTTTGGAAACTTAATCTGGAGAACGCGGGGGAGAACATTACAAGGCATGGTAAGATTTAGCCTCGCATTAAAAATTAATTAATTACTGGTTAAAAAGAGAAAAATATCCGAAAAGGTTCCTCTAATTTTTGGGCCGGTTTCAATTTGATTAAACAAAAAGAGTAAAATTTTGGATAAGGATCTAGGCCAAATTTATATAGAAATTACTGGCATCACTTAGCGACTTCGTAACAACCTATAGTTTGATCATTTTCACAAAAAAAACAAGAAAATTTTTGAAATTTTTTAATAATCTTTTTAGACAATAAGAAGTTGTGTTTTTAAGACATGCAAGAAAATGTTCAAAATAGATTCATGTTCATGCCAGATTCACAACGGTGCCCCTAAACCTTTAGGAGTAACTATTTATGGAAATTCAAGAGTCGAATTCTGACAATTTCCTTCGTTGTTACTGCTAAATAAATCCGCAAGTTGCTAGAATTAAAATATCCACAAGATATCTTCATCCTAATTGCTCAGACGACGGTTTAAAAGGTATCGTTGTGAATCGGTCATGCCACTCAATGAATAATAATTTAATGAAAACGTTGATTAAAATTATGGATTGATTTAATTCCTGAATAGTAACACTGTCATACCAGATAACGAGGCAGTCATCTGTAATCATCTTCATCCGAGCTCTCAGCTTACCCACTGTCATCATTCATCATTCATCATTCATCATTCATCATTCATCATTCGTTATTCATTTTTTCATTTTTTCATTATTCATTTATTCATTATTCATGATTCATGATTCATGATTCATGATTCATGATTCATGATTCATGATTCATGATTCATGATTCATGATTCATGATTCATCCTTCATCCTTCATCCTTCATCATTCGGCATTCGGCATTCGTTATTCATTTATTCATTATTCATCATTCATTATTCATTATTCATGATTCATGTTTCATGATCTATGATTCATGATTCATGATTCATGATTCATGATTCATGAAATTGATCCTGCGTTCTACATCTCAGGAAACTAAATTATGATAGGAGAGATCCATTGGTATATTGAAACATATGTATAATAGGGACGTAGGTTTATAATCACCCCTATATAGCAGTTTAGGACAGGATGAGTGCTTTTTTACTGCTCCCTCTGTTTTAATATCTTTGAACCATCTAGTCTCGGATGAGAATATTTCTAAATTAAGAACTGCAATATATCTGAACTGGTCTGAGGACAATATATTGAATATTTAATCAAGATCAAGTGCAGATACCAAGCTCAGACTTAAACCTACCAGTTCAAATTTACAATATTTATATATTTTGCAAAACGTATTGTATTCAGAATCCGGATATTCATTCCCCTAAATCCGGAATGTTTTCAGAGCAATTTTCTTTTTTTTATGATAAATTTTTGTGGAGGTAAATTGAGCAGAAAATGAAATTCACTGAGAACGTATTTTTTAGGAGATGTTTCTTTTTATGTAGAATCATGTATGATAGAAAAATAAGAGGTCAGCAAAACGTATTAAAATTCTGGTTTGTAAATTATTTGAAACATATATTATATATATATATATATATATATATATACAGTATACACTATACAGGGTTTCTAAAAAAAACGGGAAATAAGGGTCCACAGACTCGTTTGTAATCGGATTTTCAAGATTGAGACCATTTTCAAAATCTACATACAATTCCGATTCAATGAGCCAAATTTTAGGCTTGTAGATCTAAAAATGACAACTTTAAAGGCTCCTAATGTTTCCAACTAGATTGAGTAAATTTGGTTAAAATAAAGATAATCTCCGTTTGCACATAAGGGTCAATATGCAGACTTGTTTGTAATTGGATTTTCAAGATTGAGACCAATTTTGATATAAACGTAAAATGTCCGAGTCATTAACCCAATGTGTTGGCTTGTAGATCTAAAAATAACAATTGTACTGTAATAAACTGTAACCTAACATTGAATACAAAATTGAGCAAACGGAGATTATCTTTTACTTTTTACTTCGCTTCAATTGGTAACTCGAGGAGCCTATACAATTTTTAGATCCACAGCCTAAATTGGACTCATTGAATCATAAATTGTATGTAGATTTTAAAAATGGTCTCAATCTTGAAAATCCGATTACAAGCAAGTTTGTAGACTCTTGTACAAAATTCAAACAGAAATTTTCCTATTTTAACCAAATTACTCACTACAGTTGGAAACTTTAGGAAAATGTACGTAGATTTTAAAAATGGTCTCAATCTTGAAATTACAATTACAAACGAGTGTTTAGACCCTTATTCCCCGTTTTTTTTAAGACACTCTGTATGTATATAAAAATATATATGTATGTTTATATGTAAATCCTACTGAAAATGTAGAAAGGAACCCTTGATATTGGTACATTGGATCAAGATAGAATGGATGGAATTGAATACAGAGTATTGATCTCTTTTCCTTTAAGACTGCCAGCGATAAAAGTTGCTTCAAAACTTCTAAAACTAAATATTCAAATTTTACATTTCAAATTGTAGAACTCTCTCAAGAGAATCTTCATCTTTCGTTTACAAATAAACTTTTAAATATAGAAAAAGAATATGTGAGAATTTAAATATAAATTCTATAAGATTTAGTAGCTAATGAAGACTAGAGATAAAAACAGATTCAGTGATACAAGGGGTTTCCTAAAATGCACTTTAGGGTAATCGATATTTATCTGCATCCTTAGGTAATGATTACACCATATACAATTAAGAAGTAAGATACAACTAGTTTCATCATTTCTTTGTGGGTAGTTCGAGAACCGTATCCCAAATTTTAATTAAAATAAGCAGAATAAAATCTAAAAAACAAATAAAACATCTATTTTTTATATTTTATTAAAGAGTCCAATAATCTTGGCCTACTTGATTCCCCTGATTTGTGTGAAGTTGTATGGATTGGAAGCACGGTTGTATGATCTCATTCTAATGATATTCATCAACTTAGAGAATCCCTTCACTTAATTATGCAGAAACCTACTGTACTTCGATATATATATATAGTACAGGCTGTACTCATGTACTTTTCAAACAATAATTAGAACACAGGCTGTACTCGTATATATTTTCAAACTGTAATTAGAATATAAACTGTACTGCTGTACTTCAGTTCCCCTGACCAGGAAAGTATGTCCAAAGTAAAATTTCCATGGTTCAATATTGAAAAAATAGCAAAACAACATTTCCTTTAAATGTTACAATTGAAAAAGATTAAGAAAAAAATGGAGTAAAGCCTTTTGCTTAGAGGGGGGGGGGAGGGTATCCGTTTTTTTCAATCAAACAATATCCCCTGTGGAACTATGCCTAAGAATTTGGTTGGAAGTGGTGAATCTGAATAATGGTGGAAAACTGTGGAATATTCAAGAAACTATTTTCGCTCTCATTCCTTTGGAATCCAAACTGAATTCTTTAAAATCCCTGACGTGAATATCTCAGATTAAATCTAAATTGGACTTCGTAATCTTTCACATTTCGAACACTAGCAAGCCAGTAGCAAGAACAAAAATTAAATGAAAGAATTGAATTCATGCAACAATATCCAGAGTGCTTCAAGAGAACTAAGAATACCAAGAGAACTAAGAATACCAAGAGAACTAAGAATACCAAGAGAACTAAGATTACCATGAGAACTAAGAATACCAACTAAGAATACCAAGAGAACTAAGAATACCAAGAGAACTAAGATTACCAAGAGAACTAAGAATACCAAGAGAACTAAGAATACCAAGAGAACTAAGAATACCAAGAGAACTAAGATTACCATGAGAACTAAGAATACCATGAGAACTAAGAATACCAGGAGAACTAAGATTACCATGAGAACTAAGAATAACAAGAGAACTAAGAATACCAAGAGAACCAAGAATAACAAGAGAACCAAGAATACCATGAGAACTAAGAATACCAAGAGAACTAAGATTACCATGAGAACTAAGAATAACAAGAGAACTAAGATTACCATGAGAACTAAGAATACCAAGAGAACTAAGATTACCATGAGAACTAAGAATAACAAGAGAACTAAGATTACCATGAAAACTAAGAATACCAAGAGAACTAAGAATACCAAGAAAACTAAAAGTATCAAGAGAACTAAGAATAACAAGAGAACTAAGAATACCAAGAGAACTAAGATTACCAAGAGAACTAAGAATACCAAGAGAACTAAGATTACCAAGAGAACTAAGAATACCAAGAGAACTAAAGAATAACAAGAAAACGAAGAATACCAAGAGAACTAAGATTACCAAGAGAACTAAGAATACAAGAGAACTAAGAATACCAAGAGAACTAAGAATAACAAGAAAATTAAGAATACCATACGAACTAAGAATAACAAAAGAAGTAAGATCATCAAGAGAACTAAAAATAACAACAAAACCTAAGAATATCAAGATATCTAGAATACCGTGAGAACTAAGAATATCAAGGTAAATTATAAAATCAAGAGGACTAAAAGAAAATTAAGAATACTAATAAAGGAATCAAGAACTCCAGGAAATCTATAAAATCTAGAGTACTAAAAGAAAATTAAGAATAATAATAAAGAAATCAAGAATACCAAGAAAATCTAAAAATAAAGAGTACTAAAAGAAAATTAAGAATACTAATAAAATTAAGACTAAAAATCATCTAAGAATACTTATAGAAGAACTAAGAATATCTGAAAAAATACTGAAAAAGAATATGAATAATTGTTAAAAGAATCCAGTTCATTTGAAACTATTAAATCAATAAGTTGACTAGAGAACTGTATGAAGAGGAGAGGAGAGGATTCATTAACCAGATATCTTAGAGCTTTCAACTAATTTGGTTTTAAGAAAATATTTTCAACATTTTAATTTCAAATATGCGCATACAAGACCTAACTCAAAACATGTATGCATTTTGCAGATAAAATAAAAGGATAATATTTTTTAATGAAAAAAGAAAATGTAAAGTTAAAGATTTTTTTTCTGGAAAATTGTGCAAAAACAAACTAAATATGAATAATTTTCACATAAAAACAAGCAGAATTCATGAATTTAAATTCGAGTATGGACAATACATCTAAAAATATACAAATCATCTTATGAAAGAAAAAAGTTTTCAAAAGTGAAGGCGACAGAAAACAAAAATCAAGGAAGCATTTTCGGAAAAACTGTTCCATGTAAATCTACTTTAGTTCTACCTTTTTTAAAAAAAAAACATTTTTAAGAGTCGTTCCATCTGAGAGGGAATAGAATTACGAATCAATCAAACCCAATGTTATCAATGATAACGAAAATAAGAGTTGGTTTACGAAAACCACTGTGAAACAGTCAGTCACAATTTTGTTCAGTAGAGAACAAATACACCACAAGGTTAAACCCACACAGGATGAGACTTCAGGGACAACTCCATTGAATTTATGCTGTTCGTTTTTCTAATATTTATGATTCCCTGAAACTCTTATTTTGTATGTTTTTTTACCCAATCATTCAGAGAGCCCAAGAAATACTATATTTAAAGGGACTGTAAAGGAAAAATGAAAGGGGGTATAGGATGAAACCTGAGAATCTCAGGTTTTGAACGATACCTATAAGACATGTTCCTGTCTCGAGAGATTGACATAAAACTGTGTCAAAATTATACCAAAACGGCCGCATATGCCAGATTTTGTATATAAGTTGTAGTTTTAAAAAGAGCATATTCAACAATAACGCAACCAATCTAAAAACGATCTGATATCCCACAGGAGCCTGAGAATCCCAGGTTTGCTCATATTATAATTTTTTATTTTGCAATTTTGAATAGATATAATTATTAATATTATTACATATAGTCCGTATAGTCTGTATTACGTCACAATAACTTTAGCCAATGACAGTGCAGTATGGTTGTCACGTGGTACAGACGGAAATCATGTGACCAGTATACTGCACTGCCATTGGCTGAGTACTGGTGATGTAATACGGACTATACGGATTAAATGTAAAATTATTATCAATTATATTATATCTATAAAAATCCAAAATAAAGATTAAATAATTATAACAGGAGCAAACCTGACATTTTCAGGTTGCTGTGAGATATAATCGTTTTCAGATTGGTTGCGTAATTGTTCAATATGATCTGTATAATGATACAACTTTTATACAGAATCTGACATATGTCCTTTTTGGTATAATTTTGACACAGTTTCATATCAATTTCTTGAGACAGGAACATCAGATAGATGTCTTATAGGTATCGTTCAAAACCTGAAATTCTCAGGTTTTATCCTATACGACCCCCTTTCCTTTTTCCATTACAGTTCCTTAAAGGAAGGACTTAATTTAACCTTGGAACTGTCATATTTAATGAGTTTTAGGTCGTATTTAAAGTCTCATCCTTTGTGGGTAACCCTGTTCTTGAGATTGATTTTAAATTATTTCATTTAATATATATGAATAGAATGTTAGGTTTCCTAGAAGAATTAGGTTAGGAACTAGTGAGATATTAACCTCATTTTCTATATTAAGCAACCAACCCTACACAAACACAAACATCTTAACTGTTGTGTTATAAAAATATAAATTAAGAAGGTTAGATATTTAATGAAAGGTACAATAGAAATATAAAAAGAGTGGTGGGTCTGTTGTGATATAAAAATATAAATTTAGAAGTTTAGATATTTAATTAAAGGTACTGTAGAAGTATTAAAAGAGTGATATGTCCGATTCACAACTATACACCTCCATCCTCTAATTGAATAACAATGAGAAGTAGGTTTTGTCTCAAAACGCGACAATGATTCCAATTCAGGATATGTTTAAAATTGGAAAACCTGGGTTTGTCTCGAAAACGGTCAAGGGTTTTAACATAATAAAAAAAAATTCTTTTATACTTTTGATTTCATAAAATAATTAAATAATGAGAATTGTTGTCTCAGGGAGGAAGGCCAACCGCAACCATTCCTAGTCAGAGCCACATTCTCCTCATTTTCTTGTCCGAGCCACCTCGGAAATCCTCGTCCTTTAAAAAAATATTTTTTTATGTGTCCAATCCTTGAAGATGAGAATATTTTTTGAAAATCTGACCATGCTAGAGCATAAAACATCGCTAGACTAAAGTTTTACAATGATTTTATAATGTTGGAATCTTCAAATCCATGAGAATGTATTTAGGTTAAACCTCTTCTGCCTCCAAAATGGCTAACTTTCATAATCAAAAAATGTTATCAAGTATTTACTTGAACATGGTCTATAATTTTTCCATTTCAACCCATATAAAAAAAATCATTGATTACTGATATATTTACAAACTAGCTGAAGGGCCCGGCGTTGCCCGTGAAATAAAAAAAATTAAATTTTTTTTTGAAAATTTCAGCCCAATTGGTCCAGCCGTTTGACTGGCTATAGGCAACATATATATATATATGAATGTCTTGTTTTTGTTCTCGTACCAAGATCACTTCTGCCTGTCACACGATTATATCCTAGGAGAAAATAATGTTCAATTTTAATTATTTAAATCATTTGCTACAATTTATACGTCACATCCCTATGAATTCAAACAGTATTTAAATCATTAAGGAAATGTGGGTGAAAATAAAGTGTAAAAATAGAAACAGTTGTTTTAATTTGATTTCATAATAATTTGCGGCATTCTAGGCGTAAAAGGCGCAGACATACTTGTTTGTAGAACATCGTTCTGGGAGCATTTACATTTTTTCTAATTTAAAACTTGTATGAGCAAATTCAATATTTCATTTATTCCCTAGCGTGGACAGATTTTCAAAAAATATTCTTATCTTCAAGGATTGGACGAAGATTTCGAGGTGGCTCGGACAAGAAAATGAGGAGAATGTGGCTCTGACTAGGAATTGTCGTGGTTGGCCTTCCTCCCCTTGTTGTAATGATCTTATTATAAAATAGTTGGCAAACTGAATTTGTAATATTTAAATTAATATGTTATTGATAGAATAGTTCTTGTTATGTGTCCCTGAAATCCATGATGTTCTGCAATATCTCCACATTTATCAACAAACACATCAAGGAGTACAGGATCAGAGATTATCTAGTGATAAATAAAATATATTAATGTCGTCTTCAATTACAATTTGTGAATTTTACACAATTTCTACAATTTATATTTTATAAATATTATTTACCTACAGAGGGGACCACTTAAAAATCTTCTTTAATTTACAATTGTTTTAAAGTTGCAAAAATTAATCTACCGTTTCCAAAATTTGCTTCCCTTCGTCCCATTCTGTTATTATAGTTCCCAGCACTGCAACACCATGCAACTGATTCAGGACAAATTTGAAAATAATATTTAAAGCGTAATTTTAAATGACCTTTTCTTTGAATAGGGGCATCCCAGATTCACAACCGTACTTTTGATACCATGTGACAAACATATTTATTGCTGTGAGTATCCATTTTATCTAATAAGCAAGAAAGGCGCAAGTCAATTGCAGAAAAACCACAAATGAAAACGAACAGTTTAAATAAACATGGATATCTGATTTATGCTTGATTAAGGGGATCATTTTAAATCGGGCATTGCCATCTTTGCAAGGAGTGATTTCTTCTGTAATTGGATCCGATTGTAGGAGTCAAGCCAATGATGCATAATTAAAAATTTAAGTTTTTTTTTGGGAGACTTTTTGGGTTCTGTTCCTCATCACTCTGCTAGGCAATTTGATATACAGGGTGTCCCAATAAACATGGGAATTCAGTGACGAATTCGATATTGTCTTTTCAAATGTTCATCTTGCGGAGACATTATAGACACATCTTTACTGCAGTCTTTTACCCTTTTCATAAAATAAACTCTAGCAGACATAATAATATTATGGCTTTTGAAATTAGGTATTACAATGCAAATTCATAACAAAGACGATATCCAATTCGTCACTGAATTCCCATGTTTTATGGGACACCCTGTACATAAGTACTGTGATCATTTATTTTTCACGTTTTCTTCTCTGTTTCCCCCCCCCCTCTCTCCTTTTCCCAGCCTCAATATTTTTCCTGTAACCTTTTTCTCTTCCCAAACTACCTTTCTTTCCCTTTTCCAACTCGTTTTTCCCTTATTCTCTATTTCTATTTTCCTCACATCCATTTCTATACATGGTATCTTATTCTTAATTTCTCTTTCTTGTATACTCCATCACACTGAATTTTATTGTGATATCCATAATCCTAACATACCAATTGTGTGTTCTAACTTATTTTTAGAAAATTGGCAGATGTATTAAATTACTTTCCCCCCCCCACATTCCTCTTCTTATAGCTTCTAATTCGAAGCCCCTCTAATCTCAGTGAAAATATTAAAAAATATTTTCATTTCTAAATAATTTTATTCTGACTGAATGTGACAAAAGTTAAGCTGAGCGGATGAGAGCTGGTGAGCTAGAGAGAGAGAGTTCCCTACTTAAATATTCTTCTGCTGAAATATTGGAGCGAGCACGCTGAATTTCATTAATATAACGCGGCAATATGCAGATTAAACATTTCTTCAACAAACTTTTAGAAATAGCAGATCATAAATATAATAGATGCACAACTTTCTGATAATATATTATCTTAAAGGGACTGAAAAGGAAAAATGAAAGGGGGTATAGGCTGAAAGCTAATCACTTTAGCTCTTGATCGTGACCCATGAAAGTTATATCTGATGTTTCTATCTCGAGAAATTGATATACAATTTTGTATTAAAGTAGTGGGTTTAAAAAGATCAAATTCAGCAAATATGCAACCAATCTGAAATGATATCCCAATTCTAATTTAATATTTGTTATTTCTATTTTTTATAGATTTAATTCATAATATTATTTATACGTCCGTATTGCTTGACCAGAAATTCCACCAATGGCAGTGCAGTAAAGTGGTCACGTGATACAGGCGGAGACACATGACCAGTATACTGCTCTGCTATTGGTGATAGTTCTGGTCACGTGATTTAAGTTTAAGATTTTCTAAATTTTAAATATATGAACTTTCGTATAATTTTAACCCAGTTTATATCAATTTCTCGAGACAGGAACATCAGGTAAAACTTTCATGGGTCACGATCAAGAGCTAAAGTGATTAGCTTTCAGCCTATACCCCCTTTCATTTTTCCTTTACAGTCCCTTTAATTGACTCTTCATTTTGAAAAACAAGAAAATGTAATTTTTTAATAGCTCTCTATTTAATATGAAAATATGGACCAACATTTGGTGATTATTTATCTTTTAATTTAATAATGTCCGCCGCGATTGAAGCGCTCATACAGGGTGTCCCAATAAACATGGGAATTGAGAGACATTTGAACAGTTTTGTTGAGTTTTAATGAACTGGAATCTGGAAAAATTTCCCAATATCTCCGCCTTTTTTGAGGTAAAAAAATGGTCTACCACATTTTGGAAATCCCGTGACTTAGTAGTTTTTGGTGTTAAATGTTTTAACTGTGATACTAAAATAATTATGTTTACGAAATATCCCGCATGGAACAAAGACGATATAGAAGTGGTCCCATGTTTATTGGGACACCATGTATCTAAATGCATGGAATACAAAACATGTTTTGTGTCCAAGTCTAAGATTTTATGTAAATAAACTAAAGATGACTTTTGATAAAAAGTCTGTTCTATTGGAAATGAACATTTTCTGATTCAACATAATTCGCATGCAACACAAATGTCAGATTTAAAGGAGAAAAATACACTTTCCGATTAAACTATTTTCAATTTCCTGTGCAGCCCTAATCCAGCCAGGCGGGGGTATAGTGATGAAATTGTGGGAAAAGTAGACAAATATATCTACACCACTCCAGTGTAGAAAACTGTAGCTATCCTGTAAATTCATCCATCTTAATCAATATTTTAAAACTTGTACGAGATCGTAAATATCTAATAAAGAGAGCGGCCCCAGTTTTCTTTCGGGTCTGTTAAAATTAAATTTTTAACCCTTTAAAAAAAACTATTCAAAAAAATGATTATCTCATAATGCTACATGATTGAAAAACTGAGATTACAAACGATGATTTTCCGTTATAACTATAAATCAAATGATGTTTTTTATTCACCTAATTCATTATAAAGTTTATTTAACAGTTTAAAAAATACTGTATTAATGTACTCTACTGCATATAATTTGTAAACATTTACATGATTTGTACACTTTGAACTCCCTTTCAGGCTGAAAGGGACTGAAAAATTTCATACCAAGAGATTTTTTTAATTCCTCTCTATATATTCTATTCTCTATGGATAGAAGGAATTAATAGTTTATAAAAAATAACGAACGGATGGGTTTCAAACAACGTCGACTTTTTTATTATTAAAATTACATGAAATTCACAGAAAATAAGAATTAATTTTATGTATTTTTCTGTTTTATTTTACGTTTTTTGATATTTTTCAATGTTGTCTTCAAATTTTTCCAACTATAATATCCTCCGTTAGTTCACCGTTTATAAAATTGAGATCGTTAACGAACGGAAACTTTGAGAAAGAACGGAAAATGCTGTTACCGAATATAATATTCAGTTCTAAGGTAAAAATCGAACGGCTACCATAAAATTTGTTTGTTAAACGATTTTAACTGAACATTGAGGAACGGTTTGAAATAAGTCTGAACTTTCCCAGCCCTAAAGCTTGGTTCAAGTGTTTGACACTTGGGTTTTCTGTTATTTTATTATTGACTAGCTTGGGAACCCAGGGTTGCCCAGGGTAGTCATAGTTGATCCTACCGGTTACCCGCGCGTTGTCGTAAATAACGATTTTAGCTATTTTTTCCTTTAAAGGACGACTCACTCTACTTAGAATCTCAAAACCAAGTTAAGAACATTCCCGTGGTCCTACCGAGTTCCCAAATCAAAATTTGAGACTAATCGGTCTAGAGGTTCCTGAGTTATGATCGGACAAACAAACAAACAGAGATTACAACTTTATATACAAAGATGCAATATAAATATTTTTTATCTAGGATATAAGGATTTTACTTGGTTGATCTGCATAGTGTACATAATAATTGTAAAATGTTCTTGATTTCATTATTCTACGGTTTGGGGTTGATCTTGACAAGTCCTACAAAAAAANCCCAATTTGATCCTTAAACGCTCCTGCAACCCCTCCTCCCCCCTCTCTACAAGGGAAAAAAGTTATTCTTTATCCTAATTGTTGCAAAACTGCATGATTGATGGATTGCCTTGTTAACAGGCTGAATAAACCGGTCCTCAATGTATCCTCCCATCATATCATGGCAAACCAAGGTTCTATCTCATGGTTCAGAGTAAACTTGGAGATTAAACAGGGTGTCCCACATCATATTGGATTGCATATAGCTCTAAGTTGCGATTTTCAGGGCTATTTAGAAAATTTAAAAAGAAGGAATCATTACAAAAATTGTATTTCGCGAAAAATGAAACACCTAACACCTAACCTAACACTTTACCCTTTCCCCTGTTTGACATTATTTTTTCCCCTAATATTATATTACGCGTAGCGTAAAACTATTTCTAAATGGTATTTTGCTGAAAAATTTACGATTTTTATGGAAAATAAATTAATTTGTGGGTATATACCATCAAAAATTAACAAAACTAGCATTTTGATGTCCTGTTTTTCTTAATTTTCCCCAGAGCGTCAAAAATAATTTCCTCCAGGAGGGGGAGGTGGTAATTCTTAAAAATATACATCCCTGTCCATTTTGTAACAAGATGAGAAGTATGATTATTGATTCTACAAATAATTGTACAATGATTGTGTCGTACCAAATAAAAATCTAAAAATCAAATGTTAAAGTATGTTTTTTTTTTAACAATTACCATTAAATGACGCTTTTATCTCCTTACAGACCTTTTAAAATCAATTTAGTGACGTCATAGACGGCTGAACCGAATTGAACCATTACTTAACCCGAAATCGACGAGTTAAAATTTAAACACATGGGTTAAAATCTTGAAATCCTGCATTTTCCCTATTTGTCTATTATTCAATCATCATTCAGCTGAGAAAGTGGCATTCAACTTTACGATATATTTAAAAGTGAAAACCTTGTTAAAGAAATTTCACGTTTTAGATTAATTAATTTTTGCATGTAAACCCAAAATACGGTTTTAACTCGAAATATGTTTTGTTTTCGGTTACGTAATCAGCTGATTAGCGATGGTTATGTAATATTCTCCGTAAATCCTTTTCTCTGATTGGTTCAGATTTTCCCGGGAAATTCAAATTTAAAATTGAGAAAGTTTAACATTTAAGTAGCTATTCATTATTTTACAGAACTTTTAACCTCGAACTTAAAATTCGCACATTCTTTAGTTTTAGACTCAGGTTGTATATTTAATTAAGAATCACCCTCCCCTCATCCCCAAAAAGAAGGTTTGTAGTTTAATTACAATTTTTGGGGTAGATAAATATTTGAGGGGAGATTTATGAATTTTTTAGTTTTAGAAAAAGGTGGAAAACCTTGAGGCAATTTGAGTTAATATACATATTGACAACATTTTTTGTTAATTTCAAATATTCTTGTTTTAAAGCGGAAATGTTTTATCTGTTCCTGGGTTTGTTTATAGATTCTGATTTTAGTTGGTTGGAGACCAACCAATCCCAGCTCCTGTGCTTAGACCAATCCGCTCCACTCAGATATTTCGAGGACCTAGAGTTGGAACAAATTAGTTTTCAAAGATATTTTCGTTCTTCAATAGGATTAAGAGACCTTCCACAAGGGTGCATACAAATCTGACCAGGAGAGGAGGAGGGGGGGGGGGGGCATTGTGCTAAATCCCCCTTGGAAATCATAGTTTTCAATTTTTATTGAATTTTCAACGCTTTTTAATCCAATAAAGAGATATGTAGTTTATTTAGCTACATTTCTGAAGAATTTGAAATTAATTTAAAAATGGCTATTCATGAGTAAATATGTAAGCAGAAATTAGGAACGTTAACTAAATTGTATCACAGTTATATCGGTTATACTGGTTTAGAGTTTGAGGCGCTTGGTTATTTTTATTCTTTTAATCAATATTAAGTAAGAAATAAGTCAAAAGTTGCAAACGAAAATGTCGTCTTCCATGTAAACCTTTTTCACAAATAATTACAAAACTCGCTCAATTTTAACAGTAGTGTGAGTAAAACAAATAAGACCAGCAAACTAGGATCTGACAGTTTGGATCTTCCTTTTCTTTCCAACAATTCCCTTCCGATATATTGTTAAATTAAAGATTACAGTCAACCATTTTATTAAAACCAAGCAATTACTAATTTCAAATGGAGTTTTTAAATTCGATCGAATAAAGATAGAAAAGAAAATTGGCCTTATTTACATACGAGATAGGTAATTAAAAATTTGATGCATTAAACCCAACATTTTTATGTGTATACATTGAAAATAATCCGCTAAACAATATCTTAAATTAAAGTTTCTTCTGTTACAGTTTGGTCACAATAATTTTTGTTTCCTTAAGTAAAATTGTGTGCCGATATTGCGCTTAAAACTGTGCATGAACTTTTTGTTTATAAAAAAATTCAACTAAATTTTTTTCATCGAATTAAGGAGAAAATATTTTTCCGTCTTGTTAACACATCGCAATATTTTTCATCCTAAAATGATAATATAATAAAACCAAATATAATATTTACCAATAATACAATAATATAATATAAACCAATATTAGTGTATAATGTAAAACAATGGTAATCCTTTTTTATTTCACTGCACAATATACTTAAATATTGTAAAAATTGACGCGTATTGATAGCAATAATTTTGTAAGCATTCATCAAAAATGGACTATGGAAAATTTGTCTAAACTAAGTGCAATGACTTATGATTTTAATTGCCTCTTACAGTCATTAAGTCAGGGAAATTAGAGCAATTGTAATTTATCTAGACTAATCTAACCTTCAGAAAACTAGTTTCTTACAGAATTTAATTTTAAAAATCTGCCTCGAAATTGATCTCAAATATTAATTCTATTCAGTTCTAGGCTCGTACTTTGAAACTCGTAATCACAACAAAAATCATAACCTTCAGAAATATTCGAAAATGTTTAAAAAATCAATATTTCTGTTCAGAAATGTAAATGCCACTCTTTTAGGCAAAGAACATGCTTCTCAAAATAGGATAGATAATACTGCCTTTTATTTTATTCACCTGATATAATTAAAGGATTATTTTTTTCGCAAAAAAACAATGTTGCCTTGTAGGATTCAATAATTTTCTTCAAATTTTGACAGATATATATATTATATATTCACAGGGAAAATTAGATTATAACTTTAAAACTGACATTGAACATCTGTTAAACATCATTAACAACTCCGTAAAACATGAAAAAAAACATTAGTTGTTCTCATTAATAAAAGTAGTAAAGCTACGAAATACTAAATTAAGAATATTTTCTCAGGATCATACCTTCCTTTCACAAGATAAAAACTTCCTTTCACGAGATAAAACTTCCTTAAACAAAATAAAAAATCCTTTCACAGGATAAAAACTTCCCTTCACATTTAAAAAACATTCTTTGACAAGATAAAAACTTTCTTTCACAAGATAAAAACTTCCTTTCTCAAGATAAAACTTCCTTTCACGAGATAAAATTTTGTCTCACAAGATAAAAACTTTCAACTTCAAGATAATAACTTTCAACTTCAAGATAATAACTTTCAACTTCAAGAAAATAACTTTCTTTAATAAGATCAACTTTCAGGGTCAACACTTCCTTTCTTAAGATGGAGTTTAGCTTTAAGTAGATTGAAATTTCCTTTCTCAAGATCGAAACATTCTTTCTCAAATTAAATAGATCCTTCGCAAAAAACTAATTTATCTTTTAAAGGATCTTTTGCATAAAAACTTGATGTTAAAAATCATAGCTTACTTTCTTTGGATCAAAAGTTCCATTTTTAAGATCAAAGCACTCTTTCTCAAACTCAATTCTTCTTTTTGAGGGATCAAAATTTACTTTCTCCAAGGATTATATTTTTCCTTTATTAGGATCCAAACTTCCTTTTTCAGAATTAATACTTGCTTTCTTATGAAAAAAGTTTAATTTATTACACTAAAACTTTTATCACATTTTCCTATCTGAAGCTTCTCTTCCTATCTGAAGCTTCTCTTCTTATCTGAAGCTTCTCTTCTTATCTGACGCTTCTCTTCTTATCTGAAGCTTCTCTTCCTATCTGAACTTCTCTTCCTATCTGAAGCTTCTCTTCTTATCTGAAGCTTCTCTTCCTATCTGAACTTCTCTTCGTATCTGAAGCTTCTCTTATTATCTGAAGCTTTTCTTCTTATCTGAAGCTTCTCTTCCTATCTGAAGCTTCTCTTCCTATCTGAACTTCTCTTCCTATCAGAAGCTTCTCTTCCTATCTGAAGCTTCTCTTCCTATCTGAAGATTATCTCTTCCTATCTCAAGATCACATCTTACTATCTCTAGATCATATTTTCCTTTCTCAAGATCATATCTTCCTCTCTCAAGATCATATTCTCCTATATCAAGATCACATCTTACTATCTCTAGATCATATTTTCCTATCTCAAGATCATATTTTCCTATCTCAAGATCATATTTTCCTATCTCAAGATCATATTTTCCTATCTCAAGATCATATTTTCCTTTCTCAAGATCATATCTTCCTCTCTCAAGATCATATTCTCCTATATAGATCATATTTTCCTATCTCAAGATCATATTTTCCTATCTCAAGATCATATTTTCCTATCTCAAGATCATATTTTCCTATCTCAAGATCATATTTCCCTATCTCAAGATCATATCTTAATATATCAAAATAATTCCTTCTCTCTCAATCAAATTTTCTTATCTTGGAATAATTAATTCTTTCTTTCTTAAAAGTATCAGATATATCTTTCTCAGAATCATCAAACCTAGCTTTCTAAGAATCCTTTCAACTATACTTTTCAAAATAATTAAATCTTTCTCTTTCAGACCATCAACCTTTCATTCAGAAATTCAACAGATTTTTTTATCCAAAAGCAGTAAATTCTAAGAACCTTCGAAACATCGTCTCAAAGGTTAGGCTTGTATTCACTCCGGACATTTTCTAAACATTTAAGAACCAAACCTCCGAACATTACTCTGTGAAGGTTTGAAGATAGGGTTAGGTTTCCAATTTAACATTTCATCAATACTCAGCAAAGGTTTAATCTCAAAAACATTTTTTTCATTTGTTTCCATCATCTGAAAATTTAAAAAATCCAAAATGTTGCAGATAATTATATATTACACAAATGTAACAAATATTTACAATATAGACATAGTTTATTAATACATTGTTTAACAATAACAAGGAAGATATGTAGAAACTACATTTACTGACATGTATGATATGCATCTAAAGATTATTCAATTCTTTATAGAGATGAATACAGAGATATCGATTGTAAATTCTATCCATTATAAGATGAATACAGAGACAACAATTGTAAATTCTATCCATTATAAGATGAATACTGAGACATCTATTATATTCAATTCTTTATAGAGATGAAAACAGAGATATCTATTATATTCAATCCATTATGAAGATGAATACTGACACATTTACAGTAAGTTCAATCCATTATAAAGATGAATACAGTGACATCTATATTATATTCAATCAAATATAAAGATGAATACAGAGACATCTCTAATATATTTAATCCATTATGAAGATGAATAGAGATCTCTATGATTTATTAAGTCCATTGTAAAGATGAATACTGAGACCTCTATGATATATTTGATTCATTATAGAGATGAATACAGAGACATCTCTAATATATTCAATCCATTATGAAGATGAATACAGAGACCTGTATGATATATTCAATCCATTGTAAAGATGAATACAGAGACCTGTATGATATATTCAATTCATTAATAAGTGAATACTGAGACCTCTATGATATATTCAATCCATTATAAAGATGAATAAAGAGGTATCTATGATTTATTCAATCCATTAAAAAAATGAATACAGAGACATCTATAATATATTCAATCCATTATGAAGATGAATACTGAGACCTCTATGATATATTCAATTCATTATAGAGATGAATACAGAGACATCTATAACATATTCAATCCATTATGAAGATGAATACAGAGACCTCTATGAAATATTCAATCCATTGTAAAGATGAATACTGAGGACCTCTATGATATATTCGATTCATTATAGAGATGAATACAGAGACCCCTATTAATTTTCAAACAGAAATTTTTTTAAATATTCAACTTACAATATTTCAAATACAGCAACACCTACCAATGTTTAAATAAAACCTTGAGGATTAGCTAGGACTCGAACATTGCTCAATAATTTATTTTCCAATGTAAGACGAAAAAATACAAGCAAAAACGGCTTTATTTTATAGAAATTCATGACATTTAATCCTAAAATCTGCAACTTTAACAAAAATTATTAAAATAAAAAAAACTTATTATTTAGAGAACCTTGAACCTGACCGGAATGAGACGATTTTCGGTGACATGCATAATAAAATTTAGATTTTGCATGAATAGAAAAACTATGATTTGAAGTAGAGTTTAAAATCAATGTTTTTAATAAATCATTTTATCACTTTATGTATAAAATTAATATGCAAATATAAAGGTTTGTATTAAAAACTCCCAACAGGGTTAAGGGAACTTACAAAGTATTTTACATAATTCCTCTGTAAAATGCAGTTCATTTTGATCAGATTTGGATAAACACTTGAATAATGTGTTTAAAAACATTTATTAACGAAAGGGCCTTTATAAAAATAGCCACTCAGGGCAAATTTAATAATTTTATTGAAATGAATCGAAGTGGTTGAGAAGTAATGTACTGATGGGGGGGGGGGGGGGG